CAATTAATATAGCCTATAACCCAATACAACATGATCGAATGAAGCACATCGAAATTGATAGACACTTCATCAAAGAGAAGTTGGAGAGCGGTTTGATTTGTACACCCTATGTGTCTACACATGGTCAACTTGTCGACGTGCTTACTAAAGGGTTAAATAGCTCGGTGTTTCAAAGCATTATATCCAAGTCGGGAATGGAGAACACCTATTCACTAGCTTGAGGGGAGTGTAGGAAAACGTAATATTTGGGGAATATTCTTTACTATTTTATGAAGGTCTTATAATCACGTAAAATTAGGCCCGATTTTTTATCCTATTATCTTCCCGATTTTTTGCCCTATTATTTCCTTCCTATTCTAGTGTATTAGGTCCCCTATAAAAGGAAGATTCCTCCTCTATTGTAAACATAATAGACACATAATAAAATAAAGAAAGTTCTCCCCTTATGGATGTAGGTCTTATGACCAAACCACGTTAACCTTTGTGTTTTCCTTCTTTCTCTTCTCTAAAATTCAACATATCCATTTGTTGAAGTTGCCACCCCTAAGAAGCAACAATAGCAAGAACAAGTACGCATTGTAATCATTTTAGCAACAGGAACAAATGTCTCTTCATAGTTAATCCTATATTCTTGATGATTACCAAAAGCAATCGGCCTTGCCTTATAGCATTCTAAGGTTCCATCATAGTGAAGTTTCAATAGGTAAACCCATTTACACCTATTAGGCTTGACTTTAGGTGGACAAGGTATAATTTCCCAAGTTTGACTTGTCTTAAAGAGCTTAAAGCTATTCTTTCATTGTATTTTGCCAACCTTCATGCTTCGTTACCGATGAGTAAGAAGATGAGACCAAAATAAAGGATAAAATAACGAGTAAATGATGTATGATAAGAGTCATACCTATTCGAAGGATAAGAAATTCTAGTGGATCGTCTCACAACGAGTGAAGGTGGATCGGATGGTGGTTCTAGATCGAGAAATGACGATAGTGAAAGACATTGGTTGTACATAAATTCAGGCTTGAATCGTTTAATAGAGGAAAACAAGTCATCAAAACTAGGAAAAATAGCAACTTCGGGTGAAAATGGAACATGATTTGGGAAGAAAAATTGATTTTCAAAGAAAACAACATTGTGAGAAACTCGCAGTTTCTTAACTCGAGTTTCTTGGAACTAGGATCGTAGTAAATAAAATCTTTATGGCTAAAGTTATATCCCATAAATGCACATTTAATAGATTGAGCAAAAATTTTATGCTCTTTATGAGGAGGCAAATGAACAAAACACACACATCCAAAAGTATGCAAATGGCAATAGTCGGGATATTGATAATGAAGACAATAATAAGAAGAATCAAGACGAAGAGTTTTGGAAGGCAACCTATTAATAAGATAAACGACTATAGATAAAGCTTTGACCTAAAAAGCGAGTGGAACCGAAGATTTAAGTAACAAAGTTCGAGCTACTTCTAAGAGATAACAATTCTTTCGTTACGCCAAACCATTTTGTTAAGGCGTATACTAATAAGAACATTGTGAGAGAATATCTTTTTGATTTAAAAATTCATGAAAGGCATTAGACATATATTCTCCACCAAAATCTGATTTAAGGACGTTGATAACAACAAAAAATTGAGTTTCAAGCATATTGGAGAAAGTCTTAAAAATAGAAAAAACCTCATATTTAGAACGAAGAAAATAAATCCAAGTGAAACGACTATAATCATCAATAAATGTCACAAAATACTTATAATGTTCATGAGAAATAACGAGTGAAATTCATCATATGTCACTATGAATAATATCAAAGCATTTTGTTGCATGACTACCAATAATGGGAAAGGAAGAATTTTACATTTTCCTAATTTACAAGTTGAACAATCAAATAAAAGATGAGAAGAACACAATTGATCAATATTACCCAATAGCTTAGAGTTTAACAAATAAGATAAAATAGCAGAAGTAGGATGGCTTAAACGTTTATGTCATACCTCACTCTTATTGAAAATAGTAGAATAAGCTAAAATAACAATACTCGAAATAGAAACATTTAATGGAAACAAGTGTCCTACTTTAGGCCCCTTCACGATCATTTATCCCAACACCCGATCCCGCACATAACAACCATCATAAAAAACATACATTACAATTATTTTCCACCAAATGTCCAACTAAAAGGAGATTATTAGAGAGTCTAGGTGATATAAAAGCATTGTCAAACACCGAAGAAATATCTCCAACAACGAGTAATAGGTAGAGTATTTCCATTAGCAACTCCGAATATATTCGAACCAAGATATCGATGGACATTTTGTAGTAAATTAGCTAAACTAGTTATATCATTTGATGCTCGCAGAATCAATCAGCCAAGTTGTAGAGGATGGATTATCATTACCTTGAATCCCCAAAGCTAAAAAGGCAAAAATAATCATTTGTTGAACCATTATTGGGGTAAGGATTGTTGGTTTAGCATTCCGATTGGTTTTTGATCTAGGTGAAGCAACCGTAGTGGCTTGAAAAGCAAGTGTGTTAGTGATTTTAAGGATGAATCCGACAATCTTTGATGACGTACCTCGATCTTTTGCGAGTAATTGCAAAATTTCTAGGTACAATTTGTAGCTATAGACCATAATTTTTACAATTAAAACATTGAACCTTACTCATGTCTCTACCTTTGCCTTTTGACTAAGCCACAAAAGCCATTCGTTTTGTAGTAAGCTTTTCTTGTTCAAGTTGGGCTTGTGTAAGAAGACATTGTTTTGTGTGAATCAATTCACCAAAGCACTCATCCAAGGTAGGAGGAGGATGACGATTCATTAGATTAAAACAAGCATTCTCAAAATCTGATCTTAACTTCATCAAAAATTGATCACGCTTGCTAATTTCATGAATAGCCTATCGGAGAGAGAATTTTGGGACACGAGTAGCATAAACAATGTTAGAAAATTCAATCCATAAACTCTAAAAACCAAAAAAATACTCTCGAATAGATCGACTTCCCCGAGTGTAATTTGCAATCTTACACTCCAATTGAAATCTTCTAGTTGAATTCCTTTGATAATAAACCTTTTTTAGATATTCCTACATAGCTTTAGTGGTTTTATATGGGCACAAATTAAGGACAATTTGAGAATCACAAGATCCCGTAATCCATGACATCACCCGAGCATTTTTCATTTTTCATTAAGCTAATTGAGTAGCAAGTCACAAATAAACAAGAAAGAAGCAAGTCACACCAAATACCAAAGCAAAGATCGTAACAAAAAAAAAAAACCAAGATGCTTCCATAAGATAAGAAAAATAATGTCCGAAATCCAAAAGGTAACACCGAGATAATATACCAATAATCGAAACAAACCAAGAACAACCTCTCGAAAAGAATATTTCATAATTCTAACCAAGTGGCTCGATATCATGATAAACTTGCGAAAAGAGAGAAATTTTGGTTGAATACCTCGTGTCATTCTCTTATCTTTCATTCCAAATAAATATATGAATATACAAAGTGATTATAGGCTCATTTGCCTCAAGCTATAGCTATAACACCCTTAACCTAGGATCTAAAATATTGAGAATATTATCGTCGTTAACTTACATTCGAAGTGCAATGAATACAAGCTAACAAGGCACTATGACCTAATCTTAATGTTTAAAGTGCAATCTAAGCTATAAAAATTGATTATTTGCAAGGTAGATCTTATACTTTAACTAAAAAAAGTGTTATAAATTTTTCATGTTTTATTCTTTTATTTTCATTCATTGGATTGAAATAACTGGATTTGCAACAATAGATTGTCCTAATTCCTCTACTCATTAATTTATGTTAATTTTTTTACAATCCATTACTAGTATAATTATTATAGTACTTATTCCTTTTCTTATTTGTCGTCCATTTTTATTTAACGCGCGTCTAATCATATTGCCTTAATGTCCTAAGGAAACTACCATGCAATGGATAAATTAAGGTAACTATACTACTATAGGTACACTACCATTTTACTATTAGTGTTTTAGTTACATACAAACTATTGTTTACATACGGACCAATTATATGCCAACTGCTACAAAATTGGTTTATTGACTAACTACATCATGTTAGAGATACTCCATTTACTTGTTCATTGCTTTTATCATAACATAAAAAAGACTAGATAACCCTAACACATACAGGACAAATACCGATATCGAAACAAGATGGCATGCAGCAGATCCACTTAGAAGCCGAACCCCCACCTAAGGTATATACATCCGGTGCACGCCTTGAAAATCGACTCGGTTGAGAAATAAGCAATCATATCTTAATTATCTACATCACAAAAAAATAAGTGAGCGATAGCCCAGTAAATTAACTTATGCATGTCATGTATGTGTATGCATATGTATGTATAAAACACCGGTACATGCACATCAAATCCTTTTTCCATTATGTTACAATGTCATAGCCACTTTTCTTCTAGAAATTTTACCCGTTTGTAAATTCTTGAAAGTCTTGACAACTTGTTTTTTTAAGAAGAATATTTTCAAGTCCGCATATGAAACTTGAGCCTCAATTGACAAATTGCAATAACCAAATAAAGAAGTAAAGTAAGTTTGACATTTTCCTCTTTAAACATAACACCTCATTTCTCTTTCAAAAAAAAATTTTTTATAATACGTGGGGTTAACAATGAAAAGAAACCATGCACATCTTAATTGATTTTGAGGGAGAGGGATAGGGAGAGGAAGATGTTGAAGTTGAGGGAATTGCCCTAATATTGGCCCCATTCACTAGCAAACAGTTCTCTTAGTTTTCATTTCTTCTATATAAATGTTTGTTTAGCGAATGCATTCTTCATGAACTAAACAAAAGCTCGAAAAACACTAAATTCTTACACAAACATGGACTTCTTCTTTCCGTGTAGCCTAATCCTTGTCATAATAGTCTTCATTTCTTTTCCTCTTTTATTATTCATCTACACCCACAAATCCAAAGTTTCTCATCCTAATCTCCCATCGGGAAAGATGGGCTTCCCTATCATCGGAGAGAGCCTTGAATTCCTTTCTACAGGAAGGAAAGGTTACCCCGAAAAGTTCATTTTTGATAGAATAGCTAAATACTCATCCCAAGTTTTCAAGACTTGTATTCTAGGGCAGCCCACTACGGTTGTTTGGGGTGCGACAGTAACAAATTCTTGTTTTCTAATGAAAACAAGCTTGCTACCTCATGGTGGCCAAACTCGATAAGCAATATCTTCCCTTCCCCTACACAAACCTCTTCAATAGAGGAATCCAAGAAGTTAAGGAAGTTTCTACCTAACTTTTCGAAGCCCGAAGCCTTGCAAAGATATGTAGGCATGATGGACACTATTGCACAAAGACACATAGAGGCTAGTTGGGAAGGCAAACAACAAGTAACTCGTGTTTCCACTAGCTAAGATATACACCTTTTGGATAGTATGTAAAGTATTCTTGAGCATTGATGATCCAAAGGATGTTGCCAAGTTTGCCCATCTTTTCAATAACTTGGCATATGGGATAATTTCTATTCCCATAGATTTTCCAGGAACATCTTTCATTCGTAGTATCAAGGCCTCGAAAGTGGGTAAGAAAATAGTTGTTATCTATCATAAAGAAAAGAAGGGTTAATCTAGCCGAGAATAGAGCACGACTTACACGTAATATACTTGTCTTACATGCTATTAACGACTGATAAGGACGAGCAATATATGAAAAAGACGGACATAGCTGATAAAATTATAGGTTTGTTGATTGTTGGTCATGACACTATTAGTGTTGTAATTGCTTTTATTATCAAGTATCCGGCGAGCTTCCTCACATCTACCGGGAGGTTTTAAAGGGTAAGTTTCCTTTCTAATTATGCTTTTGCTCCTTTTCCATTTTTATTACTCATTTTTGGTTGGGATTGATACTAGTTAACACTAATAGAACAAATGGATATTGCCAAGTCGAAAAGGTCGAAGGAGTCGCTCAACTCGGAATGATATTCGGAGAATGAAGTACTCTTGTAATGTTGCATGTGAAGTGATGAGACTAGCTCCTCCACTTCGAGGTGCTTTTAGGGAGGCCATTGTTACTACTTTTTTTTAACACAATCGGAAAAGCAATAAATCCAATCTAATCATGCAATAAAGGGTAAGAAAGTATCGTTTCCACGAGGAATTAAATTACACTACTAAAATTATCTAACTTAAATTAAGTTGAATTAATCAAAAGAATTAAAAGAATTAAATTAAAACTCTATTCTAAAGTTGTAGAATTGAAAATTACTAATAAGATGGTATGAAAGTAGCTAAGGATAGATTCATTTAATTCTCACTTATGCAATTAACTATATTAACTCAACTCATAAACTACTTTAAGGTTTATCTTAATATATTTGATGACGGAATTCTCCGAACAAGTTAATAAGCTATCCGTAGTCGGATTAACCATATTCTTCACCTAACAAATCATCCATATTTCTATGTGACTTAAATTAAGATCTAAATGCATTACAATTAATGGAATCCTCCAATGTAAAATAAGCATGCCATCATGCACTTCTCTTTTTCATTATCGCACTAGAACTAGTTGTCTTTCGATTAATAGTAAACTAGTGATTTATATTGTTTTGATCTAACACATACAATTCCTTCTCGGTATCAAGCACATGTCATTAAATCAATAAGAGGTGATCGCTCTCTTAAAGCATTAAATGTAGCAATATAAATTCCTCATACATCAAGAATCGGGTTTTGAGTTGAGAAAAAGAATTAATCATATAGAATAAGAATTAAAATCCTTCATCCCTAACTTAACAATTTATTTCTCCATCAAAAAATTTATTGGATCTAAAAATAAAATTTCACATCGACAATCCATCAAAGTAATAATTAAAAAAAAATTAATTACTTATCTAATGTATCTGTATCCTTCTATAGATTTTTTTTCTTCTAGCTGCCGCTCCAATTTTCTTCTCTTCTCTGGCCGTCCAATCCCCCCACTGCAGTGCAAGTGCCAAGCCTTTTATACCAAATTTTGTTACTGCCGTGCAAAGCTCCTTTTGTTTTTAGTGCCGTGCAACTCGACAATCTGCCTCCATGCATGCAAATCCGCTTTCTTTGCTTGTTTTTAGCTTTCCTGGTACAACTTCATATTTCTTTATTTTTCTCTCTCTGTCGTCCTCCTGTCCTTCACTATGCCTACAACTCTTTCTTTTAAAGCCATAGACTCCTTTTTCTAGTCCACCACGTCACTTTCCTTTTAATTTTACATTGCCATGCCTTAAGTCAACCTTATCATGCTTATCACCTTTTCCTTTATACTACGATCTCTTTTTTTTTTTTTTTTTGTCAAGCACGTAAGTCTCCTCCAGAATGTGATGAATTGATTTTTTTAAGATGTCTAAGTCAAACATTTTTTTTCTTCTTTACTCTTTCATCCTTGTTTTTTATTTTTATTTTCATTTCAGTCCTTATTTTGCCTTACTTCTTAGTCTTCTCTTTAATCTTTATACCTACAAATTCAAAGCATATGGAGATTAATTTATATCAAATAAAACATAAATCACATGTATAATTAACGAATTCAAGCTCTATATTTACATAAAATATATGTATAAATTATAATTATCAGCCACACATGACTTCAACTTTGCAGGTTTCCACATACCTAAAGGTTGGAAGGTAGGGCATGCAGTGGCAGTAGACAGTAGTCCATGCTAATTAAACAAACATGTATAGCTTTATGACTACCACTTACTTAATCTTTTAAGATCAGAATGTTGGCTTAAAATCTTTTGTTTTTGATTGACTTTGCAGTTATATTGGAGTGCCAATTCAACACACAGGAATCCTGAATGCTTCCTGGATCCTGAAACATTTGATCCGACAAGATTCGAAGGAATCGGACCGGAACCTTATAATTTTGTTCCATTTGGAGGAGGGCCTAGGATGTGTCCTGGGAAAGAATATGCACGGTTGGAGATACTTGTGTTCATGCATAATTTGGTCAAAAGATTCAGGTGGGAGAAGCTGATTCCTGATGAGAAGATAATTGTGGATCCCCTCCCATATCCTGCTAAACAACTTCCCATCCACCTCTTCCACCACTAAAATACAATAAAAAATCCATCCTTGCACTACAATAGGATACAAGAAGAAATTACTACTTAATTATATCTGTAATCATCTACAATATTATTGCAAGCAAGCAAGCAATCCTGTTGCTTCTTTCTTACAAATTTGGTTATGTAATATTGTATTTGGAATTAATGTTTTCTGTCTATGCTTTAAAGGCCAGGTTCCGACAGGACACTACAATTGCTTGTGAAATGTATTTTAAGAGGAAATCTAAAGTCATGCTCATCTGCTCATGTTAGTCCATTTGGTTACCAAAATGTCATGTGAATCGAATCCCCATCAAGTAATATAAACTAATTAAGCAATGCAAGTTATGTGATTTTTGTTCTTTTCCACATAAGCTAGAACATGCTAATGCTATTGATTACCTATGACTGCTTCTAGACATGCCTTCACAAATCAGGTTGATGTTCGTCGGGCAAGACAACAACATCAATTTAGAGCTCCTTAATGAATCGGTTGCTATTCAAGTTAATTACTCACTAATCTAATTGTAAATGCAACATTTCCTATTGATACTAACACTTTGGTTCCTCCTTTGAACAACAGAAATATTCTTTTATAACGTAAAATTATAATTTTAAATTACAAATGTGGTTGTGAGGTGACAATCATGATTAGGAATTCGCAAATTATCCTAATAGTAAAATAATGATTACGATAATAGATATCGTAAATATATTTGTATTTATTTATTCTAATATAAAGAATCAAAAGAATTTTTTTATATATATAAAGACTTTTCGTAATTCCATTATCGTAAATATATTTGTATTTATTTATTCTAATATAAAGAATCAAAAGAATTTTTATATATATATAAAGACTTTTCATAATTCTATCAAACTTTGATGGAATATCGTTAAATTCTTTATAACATGGTATAACAAAAATGCTTATGTCTAAATTTATTAAATAAAGACTATAACATTTCGTAATAGTTGTTATATATATATATATAGACTTTTCTCTAAGTCAGATGTTCATGGAATATAATTCATTAGTTACAATGAATGTACTTAATAAAAAAACAAATATATTGTGGCAATATATGCATTAGATTCCTTCTGTCAAACTTTGAATTAATCACAAATGGTTGACCATGTTTTACCACAACAAAACTTATTAGCTGATTGGCTAGCTGGTATAGCTCATGTTCATAGAAAAAAAATTATGTTTATACGTTATGGGATTCCACCTAGATATATTCAGAATGAAATTAAATTTAATAAAATAAGCATCTATTCATATATAAAAAAAAAAAATTAACATTTTTGTCTTATTTTTTCATAAAGGTTAGGCTTTCTAGCCCTCCGAAATGTTATAAGGTTAAGCTGAATTATCCTTCAGTATATTGTGAGATTAGGTTGGGTTAGACTAGACTATCCTTCCAGTATATTATGAGGCTAGACTGAATTATCCTCCCTTTAATGAATTTTCTGGTTTAATAAAACAATTCAGAATACCATCTTCTTCTTTTTTTAAAAAAAAAATGTGAATTTGCAAAATTAACATAAGCCACGTCACAAGTTAAAGTTTCAGACTTCACAAAAGCAAGAAGAATAGACATATGTAGGGCCACCATAATCCCCGGCCCATAACCATCACAGTCTCAATTGTCTTGTAAAAATTAGAATAAATAATAATTTAGTTCCTGTGTTTTATGTGATATAATAACTCAGTCCCTCTCGTTTCAAAAATCATAACTTAGTCTCTTAATCATCTGTGATTGCTAATTCATTAAAAGCTCAGTTAGTTATTAGGAAATGACCAGCCTACCCTTTTGCATTAATAGTTAAGTTTCATATTTGTCTTTGATTAATTAAGATTTTTTTTCCATTAATATATATAATGAAAAGGGTCTTTTGAAAAAAAAAACTAAATTGTTGACAGGCACCACCTTATTAACAAACACTTATCGAAGGGACTAAGTTGTAAATGGATATACAAATATAGATATGTAGCATGAAGCTTTTTAAACTAAAGGGACTAAATAATAATTTCACAAAACATACAAGGTCTAGATAATAATTTACTCTAAAAATTGATTTGTCTTCTTGATCAAGTAGCAAGCACTCATTGCTTTCCTCAGTCTCATAATCCATCCCTCTAATCTTCATTTTGTGTCTCTGAGTAAACTATTATGTAGTCTTTATTAGTTTTTTTATTTTTATAGTCCTTCTAATTTTGAATATCATAAGTTAGTCCTTAATTAAATTGATTTTTAATTCCTTTTTCAATGTCCAAATTGCCTTTCTTCGATGCAACTTTTTTTTTTTTTTTTTTTGTAGGGTAGGTGAGAATTGAAATGTTGACTAGAAATGAAGAACATTTTAGATTAAAAAAAATTAACTTGTCAAAGAACCAAAATTAAAAGAATTATTTAGTTACAAATAAATCTAAACATAAAATGGTTTAATATTGGAATTTACTTAATTTCAAGCCATATAGACATGCATGCTCTTGATTTTTTGATCTTGTAATAGTTGCCTCTTTCTCAAAGTTAATTTCTTCTAAATTTCTTTGTTTACATTGTTGTTTTTGTTCTCTTCATTTAATCATCAATCATCAATCATTGATATAAAGATTAATGAGCCTCTATGAGACCTTTTTTATATGAAAGAGAATTGCTAAAGTTCATCTAGAGTGCTCATATAATTAACACTCCTTTGACAAAAATTAATTGAAGATTTTTTTTTTTTTTTTTATGATATTGGAGAGCAAGAAATAGCATGTATTAGTAGTTTAGTTTCGGATTAAAACTTATGTTTATCGTGCATTGCTAAAGCTCATCTAGAGTGCTCATACAGTTAACACTTCTTTGACAAAAATTAATTGAAGATTTTTTTTTTTTAATGATATTGGAGAGCAAGAAATAGCATGTATTAGTAGTTTAGTTTTAGATTAAAACCTATGTTTATCGTGCATTCTTTATTTTATGTTAGAATAATATATAATTTAGTCTTTTTTTTTTTTTTTTTGTAAGTTAGTTTAATTTTGAAAATCATAAGTTGATATTTTGACCATCCTGAAGTCTCTTAAACTAATCTTTTTTAAATGCTTTTTTTGTTATGTTTATAGAATTGAAATTGAAACTTTTCAGTAGAAATGAAAAATAATTTAGGCAAAATAAAAATAAAAAACAATTAAATCATCCAGCTTGACTGACCAAAGGACTAAATTAGAAAAAAAAATCTAAAAATACAAAGATTTAGTAATAGGTTTTTTAAACTAAAAGGATATACCAATGCTTTTTTCTTAAAACAATAGGAAAATTAACATTTTATTCTTTCCATTCAATTGGTCTCTTACTATTTTCTCTGTTAACGTCAATCTTGAATGATATATACATATATATATATATATATATATATATATATATTTCCTTACAAAATACAAGGATTTTTTTTTTTTTTTTTTATCTTCATTGCAATGAGAAATGATATTGAATGCTACCATTAAGACCCAAAGATCATTCCATTTGTCCTGCAAAATATAAAATATAGATGAAAATTCAATTTCCTTACAAAAAAATGGAAGAGAGATAAGATCGTATTTTTTTTTTTCAAATAATTCTACTCAAGAAACGTCATGATTATTATACGTTGATATAATTCTTTAACAGGATGTAACTTAATCTTAGTATGTATTCACGTACTATCAACAAGATTATGATGATGTTTACGGAGTAAAGAATTTGATTAATTTTGTTTATTGCATGCATGTTTAGAGATTATTGTTACTTGGAGGCTAAAGATTGCAAAAGGGGAGAATGAGCCTTGCATAGCTCAAACAAGTTTGTAGGAAGGTAGATATGAGAGTATGATCCTGATCATGCTACCACACCTCCAGAGGACAGAATTCAGGTCGAAGTAGCTCGTCTAAATTTCTACAACAATCGCCATCAAGTTAAACCTAGCGGTGATTTTCTTTGGAGGATTCAAGTATGTACATAAATTTCATAATCAACCTCAAATTATATATATATCAAGATTAATTAATTCATAAGTAATTAACTATATGTTAAAGGATAATTTAAAATTATTCTTGAAATCTTATCTAACATTAATGCCGAAACTAGAAAGTGAAATGATTTGGGGCCAATGCGACAAGCATGTGGTAACAATAAAAATAAAGCCAAAGATATTGGGCCATAGATGTAATAAGTAAAGTTCATATAGAGGATCCCGATTGAAAGAATTTTAAACATAAGGGTGAAACTTTAGTTTTCAAAAAAGTTGGAGTTGTGGGACATTGCCACCTCAAAATATAACTTAATTTTATCTTTGCTCTAGCTTTTCCTAACTAAAATATTTGGATTGAATTATTCTTTTACGGTGTAAGTTTCACATAAATTGTGTATGTATTTGTGAATTAGTGTGCGTGTGTATATATATATCAAGAATAATTAAATTGTTGTCATTAATATTATTGAATGTCCTTTATATATTTTCTTTAACCAAAACTATACATGTATAATTGCAGTTTTTGAAGGAGAAAAATTTTAAGCGGACAATAGGTGCAGTGGAAATTGAAGATGTTGAGGAAATAACATAGGAAAAGGCAACAACAGCATTGAAGAGGGCTGTCCACTTCCTTTCAGCTCTACAGGCTACCGATGGCTATTGGCCTGTCGAAAATGCTGGTCCCTTGTTCTTCCTTCCTCCATTGGTGACCATCTTATAGCTATATTTTGCCTTTTCAATAAATAACATGACTGACTGTTGCAGCTTGCTGATTGCTTTCTTAATTTGGTTCACTTAAAAATGCAGGTAATGTGTCTGTACATTACAGGACATCTAGATTCTGCATTCTCTGCTGAGCATTGTAGGGAAATCCTCCGATACATATATTATCACCAGGTACTAATCTTATCAGGTTTATTTTTGGGAGGAAATACGCTCGTTACATCTGAGGAGATAATGCATGCAGAATGAAGATGGTGGTTGGGGACTGCACATCGAGGGCCACAGCACCATGTTCTGCACGGTTCTCAGCTACATTTGTATGCGGATTCTCGGAGAAGGACCTGATGGCGGTCAAGACAATGCTTGTGAAAGAGCCCGAAAATGGATTCTTGAACATGGAACAGCAAAAAACGTACCCTCTTGGGGAAAGACTTGGCTCTCTGTAATGATACATCCTGTATATCGAATATAAGACACAACCGATCGATAAAACTTATGTTTGCTGTAACTGAAATCAATGTGCATGCAGTACTTGGTGTATTTGATTGGTCTGGAAGTATTCCAATGCCCCCAGAATTTTGGCTCCTTCCCTCTTTTTTTTTCCTGTCAATCCAGGTTGTAACATTTTATGAGTGTTTGACAGGATTGCAATCTCTTCCTGCCAACGTCTCTTCATTTTCAGAGCCAAGTTAGTAAGATCTGATATGGGAAAGTCCCTATGTATTTACAGAGCCTTTTCTTACTCGTTGACCCTTCAACAAGTTAGTAAGAAAGAAGGCTCTTGAAGTAACCATGAAACACATTCACCATGAAGATGAAAACAGTCGTTACATAACTATCGGATGTGCAGAGAAGGTAACTTACTGCTTCAGAGAAAGGGGCTCGGAATCTTCTACCTCTATCTGATAATGTCTATTACGTTAATGAACTTGAATTTCAGGTGTTATGCATTCTTGCTTGCTGGGTAGGAGATCCTGATGCCGTTTGTTTCAAGAAACATCTTGCTAGGATCCACGCTTATCTATGGGTGGTTGAAGATGGAATGAAAATGCAGGTTAGAAGGCTTGCATTCTTCAACCAACCAGTGGAGAGTAGAGACCTCATAGAGGGTATCGTGTATTTAATAAAATATGAAATCTGTGTGCAGAGTTTTGGAAGTCAGCAATGGGATACTGGTTTGGCCATCCAGGCCCTTCTTGCTAGTAATTTTACGGATGAAAACAGAGATGTACTCGAGAGAGAGACATGACTTCATAAGAAATCTCAGGTTTGTGATTTCTCTTCTCCCTCTTTTGTCTAAATCATCAAGTAAAGTTCCTTAATTTCCTTGTTACTGTTTATTTGGATTATCACTGTATATATTTTGAACTTGATTAAGAGTCTTAAAGGTCAAGTACAATCCTTCCGGTGACTTCAAGAGCATGTACCGGCATATTTCTAAAGGATCTTGGACTTTCTCCGACCAAGATCATGGATGGCATGTTTCTGATTGCACTGGAGAAGGATTGAAGGTAGCAAGCTTAATTTGTTCAAGCACTTAAAATGTCACTTACGTTGTGTGCCATTTTGTTCAAATTGCAACCTGCCACTCACCAAATTAAACCAACTTGCATCTACTATGCAGTGCTGGCTACTTTTCTCAATGATGCCACCAGCAATTGTTGGTGGGCAACTGGAGCCTGAGCAGCTTTTTGATTCCGTCAATATTATTCTCTCTACAAGTAAGCATTAAACCAAACTAGCAAGCATAGCTATCTATAAACATTGTATTTAGCACTTTGTTCCTTCAATAATAATTTTCCAGGGTCCCAAAACAAACTTACTTGTTGAACTTGCAGAGTAAAAATGGAGGTTCAGCAGCATGGGAGCCTGTGGAGCTCAGAAGTGGAGATCGATAATTTCATAATAACAAATGCTGTAAGATACCTCGAAAGCATACAAAATCCAGATGGTGGATGGTATGTTCCCGTAATGAATTTTAAGTTCTGTTTATTTTGTTTCTACAAGTATTTCGGGACCTGTTAACAAGGAGAAACATTTCCACAGGTATGGAAATTGGGGAGTTTGCTTCACTTATGGTGCATGGTTTGCCCTAGGAGGCCTAGCTGCTGCTGGCAAGAGTTACAGCTATTGTGCAGCTATGCACAAAGGTGTTGATTTTCTTCTTAACATACAGGGAGATGATGGAGGTTGGGGAGAAAGCTATCTTTCATGCCCTAAGAAGAAATATGTACCTCTTGAAAGAAATCGATCGAATTTGGTACATACAGCATGGGCTATGATGGTTCTAATTCATCCAGGACAGGTTAGCATATTGCCTAAAAATGTTCTAGACGGCCAAGAAAATGGCCTCATAACTTCTGAATATCGATCTTTTTCCAGTCTATGACTATAGATGGATAGAGATCCTACACCACTTCACCAAGCTGCAAAGCTGATAATCAATTTACAATTGGAAGATGACTTTACCCAACAGGTAACTTTCTGAAACTAATTTAGTCCTGTAATCACTAGAATAAAAAATCCGAGGACGAATCCTATCAGTTCATTATGGGTAAACTTTTATTTCAAAAAGACCCGTAACCTATGATCTTCTTATTCATGACAGGAAATCACTAGTGTGTTCCAGAAAAATTGCATGTTACATTATACAGGAATATCTTTCCAGTGGGTTCTTGCAGAATACAGAAGCATGTTCCATTGCCTTCCAAATGAATCTAAACTCAATAGTGAACTATCTAACTCGTCGTTGTAACCAAAAGTTGAATAACGTGAGTCCTATAGCATATTTTTCTTGTAGAAATAAAGGTTTTTGTATAATAATGCTTTTCTGTAACAGAATGCTGTTGCAGAAAGTTGTATCGTAAACTGTCAGAGAGGGGTGCATGCTCTGTTCTAGAGATATAATTACAGGTGTGGCTTCATAATATAAGCAGACCTAGTTCAAATATATTAATACAAAATATTTCAAAGAGCTTGCAATACCTGGCAACGATATTCTCCAAGGGCCCATATAGGAAAAATGTTCCGATATGCAGAATAGCTGATCATGCAATTCTTGTTGAACACTCCCATGATCTCCTGTGATCAAATAGACACATTATTTGCATGCCAAGAATTTGTAGCTCCTTCCTGTTTTGATCTTTAAATGAAGATATCACATCATTCAAATAAAATCATAATGCCCACCTTTTACTTTCAAACTTTATATGTTTATACCTTTTTTTTCCTCATAATGTTAGATAATCAAACTTTGTGACGAGCAAATTGAACTTTTTTCTCAAATTTTCGCCAAACTATTCTAGAATAGTTACAGCAGATGACACTAAATATAAGGCTCTCATGTTACCTAATCAGTTTGAATGTTGTTCTACAGATATACAAAAATAACTAATTCATTTTCTCCTGAAAACAAAATTCAGTTGATTATGCATAGTTGCCTATGAGCTACAAACAATTTACGGAAACAGAATGCCTAGGTTTACCTCTTGAGGAAAATCTCCATTCTCCATTTGAGAATTTATTAACACCCTTGCTGCACGGTGCAATGGTAGTGGATCCCTCTCAGCCTGTACAAGTTAGAAAAAGAAACAATTATCGTGCAAAATGAAAAGAGAGTAAAAAAAAAAAAAAAAAAATTTGAAACCATCTCATTCCTCAATCTCATCATGCACTTCAAAATCTAGCTTTAATCTTGCTAATTGATCCAGGTTCCCTCTTTTTTGCAACATGATTTCTTAAAGATCATAAAAACAGAATACAGCAGTAGTTAAATTTCCAGCAGTAAGAGATGTGGCCATTGCATGGGCTTCACTACATAGAAAATCAAACTGAAGATGATTGAATGTATCCCTCAATTCTTATAACACCAGAGAGACTGGATTGTGAAATGACAAATTCACTTCCTTCAACCTTGAAAACAATCATTTCCTTCGATTAAAGAAAAGAAAAAAAAAAAAAGGCATAAGATGATGTTAAGAAATAAGAAGGATCTAGACTATCTCATCATTTAATGAAAGGGAGTATGGAATTTGAATTTTTCATCAGGAAAAATCCTCTCATGGATCAAGAGACTAGCCTTTTCAGTAAAATTTCAAAATAAAACATTAAATAGTGGTTCCTGAACTGTTACAGAAGGTCAAACCCATCAAATTTGAAGGTTAGAATTTTGAATAAAAAGGGCCTTTTCTCCAGTATGGTCTTATCACATTGGAGTCCTAGTATGATATTTGCATGGAGAGGCTGCTTTCAAGACCAATGCATACAATTTCCATTCTCACATATGCATCTCTCTTTTCTCGGTCAGACATGAACTCCTCATAAACAACAAAAGGCATGAAAACAGTGTGTTCTTTTTTCTGGTTGAAACCACAGGTGCTATAGAAAGCGAGGTTTCAGCAATTTATCTCAAAAAAAAAAAAAAAAAAAAGAGTCCAATTTGGCAATCATAATTTTATGAGAGACAAAAAAGATTCCCTAATGTACCTGCCCAGCTTCAATGAGCGCTAACATAGCCCATCCAGTATTGACTATATGTGGTCTATCATCTTTCAGATTTGTATACACCTGTTTAAGAAGACACATAAGGAATAATCCAACACAAAAAGTTAGAAGTATAAAAGTGATAATCTGACAGGATATGTAACACATCAAACTATAGCAAATCTAAGCAGCATTAGCAGATTGGGAAGTCAAATTTTCACAATGGGTGTGATATATGAGGCATGCCTCAATTTGAAAATCACAAAAAAATATGAAATAGGATTTTCAATCCAACCTTGTTTTGACATGATAGATAACTCTCTCCCCAACCCCCTCCAGCAAGTTCTTTGGACAACATATAATTACAAGCTTTCCGAATACTACCGCAGTTATTATATGTCATGCCAGCAGCCACCAAACCCTTTATCCCAAACCACCCAGCATACGTGAAGCAGACTCCCCAGGACCCATACCTGTTAAGAACATCCAGATAACTTGCCACTGACTGAAGCAATTGATTTAAAGCAAGTACACAAAATATGGGGCACAAACCAACCAGGAACCATCTGTTGCTTGATCTGTTTCAATGAAGTTTGCAGCTTTGGCAATACAATGATCTATTTCTTCCCTCCTATGACCAGGATACAATTTCTTGAATGATGTTAGTGCTTGGATTGCTGCTGATGTGCATTCTACATATCTATGGCCATTCAAGTCAACATCACATTAGAAATCCACAAATTAATGAAGTTCTAATGCCTAAACATGAAATTGAAGTGTGCTGGAACCTTACGGGTAATCAATGACAATGTCACCAAAAGTTTCTGCAGGATTGATTAACTGAAATAGAACAGAAATATTAAATAAATGCAGTGTAATCACAACATCATTAATATAAACTGCAATCATAAGACATTGAACTTAGATTTAAATGGATCCTCACGACTAGTCAGAGTAATGTTACCAACAAGGATTGAAAAAAAGCATATGGGTCAGAATATGCATTAATTCACACACAACTTTATGCTAAATAAGTTAAAAGAATCCGTGAAGACACCATTTTATCAAGCAGAAAAATATATAGTCCATTAAGCAAGAAATCATCATGCATAACATATAAAATAATCAACAATTTAAAATTTATTCACTCGCAGAACTAAGGACATACTCATCAAATATATAGGTTTTCACTCGCAGAACTAGGAACCCCTTAAACGACCTCCTTCAGTAAGGAGAGCAGCTATTGACGACCAGTTCTGCAAACCTTAAATTGTTAATATTAAATTTTTCCATGTAAAAATTTTGCATTTCTTCCAGAGGAATTCATAATATTGGGGCAAATACACCTTAATGAGTATTTTAACAAATTAGAAAAGGCTTTTTCACTTAAGGTAGTTACCTCCAACCACCGGTACGATCTTGTCAATTCATATGTTGCAAAACCACCATCAGCATTCTGCAGCAGTGTCCAAAATATCAAATATTTACTATCAGTAGAATACTCCTGAACAAATAATAAGGCAATCCCTATTTTGATCTAACTTTGAGAAGCGAGATCAGATTGAAAATATTGAATGATTTCACTGAGGGAGAAACCAAAAATTCGAGCCCCTATAACCGAGATTCTCATTAACTTCAACTTTCTATCATAAGCTTGCTTGAGGTCACTACATCAAATGTTATGGTATCCCTATTCGTACCATGTCAACCCACATCATGCCCAATTTTCTTGTTGCACACAGCACCATTAAACAATAGAATTCCACTAACATATTATACATAATTAACTGTACTCTTGCATCCTTAAAAGGTAATGCTTTTATCCCACTGTTGTGCTAGATCCAACATCTGTGTCAAAGAAGCAACCAAGAATTAAATACCTGTAAGGAAAGGATTACATTTACAGCATCACAGAGCCGCTCCACACCTAATGGATCCCCAACCATTTCTGTTGGAAGTTTTGATAAAAGTAGAACAGCCTGTACAGGTAGATAAATATCAACAAAACGTCTATGAGACAAGAATATGATCTTGTACATTTTTTTTCGCCTTTTACCTTCAATCCTTCTGCAGTGCAGTCAGAGATGGGCCATCCATGATCTGCAGTTGAAAATGGCCAAGCTCCTTTAGAGATGTGACGATACCAGAAATTTAAATCTCCAGGACAATCTTCTAGGACCTGTAAACAAATTATAACTGGTTGAGCAAGGAGGACAAGCAGTAGTGAATTATCGTAGGCTATCTCTACAAATGAGAACCTGTGAATCTTTAAGGTACCCATGGGCTTTTCTTAAGGTTGGACCGTATTCTTCAGCAAGGTTGGTAGAGATTATTGCTTGAACAGCAAAAGCAGTATCCCACAACTGACTTCCGTTATATCCCTACAAATTCAATACAATTTCACCAGCTAATACGATATATGCATCCAACTCAATATGCCACTCATCAGTAACACACACAACAAGAAAGAACCATCTTTTCTAAGCAAAATAGGAAGAGAGAAGAAGAAAAGAGGTATAGGCTTATACAAATAGTTAAGGCGAGGTTAATGCTTTTTCTTCACCTGCATTTTCATGCCGTCTTCAGCAATCCACAAATAGTCAAAGACTCTTGGCAGATGCAGTTTAAATGCCTCTGAGTGAGGATCTTCCACCCAGCAACAAAGCATATTCAGTACCTGATACAAATGAGCAGTCATATAACAGAACAACTAACAACAAGCTCAGGCCCAAGCGCATTAGCAGAACTTTAGAACTAAAGAAGCTATTAGATCTTATTCTTAACAGATGCGATACTAGAGAGTTAAAGGTGTATTTTTCCTTTGCATTGGTTCTTATTTAACAGAAAAGACAAGCATCGTCAAATTATCTATGTATACCTTGTTGACAGGCCCTATGCATATATACCGAGTATTTTCATCTTCATAGTGGATATGCTGCATCACTGTGTGCAAAGCTTTCTCCCTCAACCTTCTGAGAGGCCAACATGTAAATACAGGCTCATATGCATAGTGAAGAGAACTCCACAGAATATCCTGAACCAAAGGATGTGGGTAGTATAGATCTTCCTGCCAAAATTTGCAAAAAGTCCACAATCAACATCAAAGATAAGAAGAAATTTCACGTTAAATATTCAATAGTATATGTTTGGCAAGGGAAAAAACGAAATGAATCCCTAACCAACCTTTGCACATGTATTACGAGCTCTATTCCAATCTACTTGATGATATGGAACTGTGTAGATCTCCTTTCTCAAAAATTGAATTGTGGGTGTTATAGGACCAACAAACCTCTTGCCATATAGATAAGACATTGGTAAATAAACCATACGACAGTGGCACCACATCCTTCCTATGAATATGAAACTTTACAAGATTACTCACAAGAAGCAAAAGCTTATTAAAACTTGACAGAACTACATCACAATCAAGTGAAAATGAGAGGTCATATAATGTTTGAACTATATTAACAATAATGTATATTGCAGGGAAGCCCTCAGCAAGTACATGGAGATAGAGAACGTTTTGTTAACAGAAAGAAAGTAAGATATAACATAGCTAAACAAAGAGAACCAAACTGCTAGAGATTAGCTCATTGAAAAAGAAAAACCAAGCAAAACAGCAAGAAATCTATGAGAAGAAAAATTTCATCAGCAATTAGTGAAAAAGGAACTAACAAGCTAATTGCATAAGCAATTAGTGACCATCTCAAACATAAAGTATGGGTTTAGTCCAACAGAAGCAGTTTTAGTTGCTTTTCTATTATTTGTATTTTAATTAATGAGACTATTGTCCACTTAAATTCCCATACCAAATGAGGTCTTTGGCAGTAAGCAAAACAAATTTTGATGACGGCTGCTACAAAACATTTTAGAAGACTATTAGCCAGCAATAGTCGGCTGAAATGAGGGCTTAGAGAAGTGAGTCTAAAATTAATCCATCTTTCAGCATTTTTGTGTAAAGCAGTTGCTCACAAGACTTTAACCTGCGCACTTGTGCTTGCAGGGTCAAGATATTTTATCATTACACCAAGCAATGGAAGCTTGATGGAACATGTTATAGGTTAGTGTTTTATATTTTCAACTTCAATTAGTTGGTTAAACAGTGTAAGAAAAAATACACGCTATTCTCCTTTGGATGGCTGAAATGAAACGAGCATGTATAACAATTCAGGAACCTGGATGCATAGGGAGAAGGTAAGGACATAGCCATACTTCTGGAGGCAGTGGATTATTCCCAGACCATTCATAGACTCCAAGTACCTATAATCATCAAAGATCAACCAAATGTCACTAATATTGTCATAATCTACAGCTTTTAGAACAAACCACCAAGATAAAAGACCAACTTAGTACCGAAAGCCACATTTTCCCCCATGAAGTAATCTCAGTTGCACCACCATGGTCCAAGATCCACTTACGTCCCTTTTCCATTGCCCCATCTCCACCCTCAGCTGCTTCACCAAGCAACCTCAAGGTCACATAGTTTAGACAAGTACCAAACATGGTGCTTGGGCCCTCAATATGAAGAACCCAACCCCCATCTCTATTCTGCAGCAAAATGTGGCACATTAACAAAATAGTCTCCGTAATCTGTTAATAATGATCCTAATGCTATAGCTAACATGAAGCGGTTAGCTTATGTTTTGGCCAAGCTTATATGTGTAGTTCAACTACACTTTGGGAAACGAACTCAGGTGCAGACACTATAATTAATCAGAGAAGGCATTGATACAACTTGCAGAGTAACAGTTTTTTCCCCCTAATATCCAGCAAAGTAGTTTTTATATCAAAAGCTGAACAAATAGATGTTCAAACATTGCAGTTCTTACCTGATGATTGTACAGATATCTGCACATCTCTCGCTGATGTTCTTTTGACAAGACAGCATTCAGAGCTCCAGTAATAGATAGAGTAAAGATCTGTTTCAATTCAAAAGCAAGGCTAAAACATATGCTAATTAATATGATCAATTTCTCCCTGCAGAATGCAATCCTTTTATCTAACCAAATCAAAAAATAAAACGAAACGCAGCATTTCCCATTAACACAAGCACTCTGGTTCTCATCCAAATGGTAAGTAACAATCATTTACATACAAAGCAAGTACCTTTTCTCTCTATCAAAAGAAGCCAAACTATATAGTGATCAATGTAACTGTGAAATTAACCCAAGTCAGATAAAAAGTTCAGGTTTCAGACTTTACCAAACCAGGAAGTAGAAACATTGGACCTCCATAATCCCCAGGCCAATGACCATCATGTGCCTGAATTGTCTTATAATAACTAAGAGCCCTTCTCAAGGTAGCAGTCACTGCTTCTTCAGTCACATCTTCAATGTCTTTAACTTTAATTTGAAGCAAATTCACACATGGGTTTTCCTTTTCAAACTACATTTCGCAATCAAAACAATCAAAAAGCTCCAATCTTTAACATAAAGATTCAAACTTTGAATAAAATTCATCAACGGGTCTAACCTGGAACCTCATAAGAAGGTCAGCACTGTGTTTCTTATCAAACCTTTGAGCTTGAAATGAAAGGCGAGCATTTTGTAATTGCAAAAGCTCATCTGGGGTGCCAAGTTGCGGACAAAATTCCCAAACTTGGCGACCCACATGATTGTTAACACTTGTTAGCCATGATGATGATTGACCATTGTCATCAACACTCTCTGCTCCTATCTTAAGCTTCCACATTTGACAAAGATTAAGGTGCTTCTTTAGCTTGGAGCGATAGAGAGATCAAACAGGTCAGCAGGTAGTTTACTTCGCTTCCTTTGCCTTGTAAAGTGAGATTTGACTAGATGCCCTTTTACATGATTATTGACAATTCTAAAGCAAAGTTCTATGGCTAAAAAGGATTGCTTCCTCTCTTAATTTTTTTGAGTTCGAAATTTAAAATTACCATTGAAAAAAAATATTTTTCTTCATATGCAAACCGATCTAAAAGATAAGCAGTACGTCGAGAGACCGCTACACTCGACAGGAACTTTCTTTAGTTACTTTTGTATGATCTATCTATTTGTCATTTCTTAGATGTTAAGGATTCCTAATTATCATGAAAATCAAAATTATTGAAACTATTTGTATAGAAAATATACACTCTTATGAATTCGATAATACAAACGTTGTCAATTTATTGAAACAATCCTATTTCTAAGTTTCTATTTTGCATGTTGTCGCCTAAGATTGGACAAATTGGAAAAAAAAAAAAAATTCCATTTGTCGTATTTGTTTTCTACTGCTTGAAGGGTTCATCAAAGGATTATTTTTTGCTCATAATTTTCATTTTTAAAAAAAGTTTTCACACGAAGAGAGTTAATTATAACTTAAACTTTGTAGTTTATGAAATAAATAAATTGATCCTTGTTGTAGTATAAAAAATAATTAATAGTTTATTTATTAACCTTAACTATGCTTAATTTAGATGTATTTTGTTCTAAAAATTCTTTCTTTCTCATCTTTCTTTTCATATTAACTTCATCTTAAATTAAAAAAAAAAATTGACAAAAATGATTAAGTTATAAAAGAATTTGAAAACAAAGAGATTAAATATATAGTTTCTCAAATTATGAGGACTGATCAATTATTTTTGTTAAATTACAAAGACTGAGTTATAATTAAGTTGTCATAAACAGGAGCATGAGATTTTTGTCAATTTATTTTTTATTTTTAAAAAGGAATTGATTAATTTCTATTGTTTTAAAAACTAATTATTTAATTTCTATATTTTAAATTTTCTTGTAAATTAATTCTTTTCATTTTTTTTCAATTTATTTTTTGTTTTTTGTTTAAGAAATAAAAAAGTTTAAAATATAGAAGAATTGATGAAAATAACATTAATTTTTGAAATTAATTAAATTAAATTAAGTCAACACTAGTTAAAAAAAAACCGAATAATTAATTTTTAAAACAAAAAAGGTTAATTTAAATCATTTCTAAAACATAGAGGGACTAATTTATAATTTACTCCAATAAATAGCTG